TCCACTTTATTATCGCTTTCTGGCCCACGTGTGATAACATCCTAAGTCTTGTCATCTTGACTTCTAGCGAGATTTCTGGCTTCATCTGCTCTAGGACCCATTTGTTTGTCCTTTTGGCTGTCCATGGGATCCTCAGCACTCTTCTCAAGCACCACATTCTCTCAAATGCATTGATTTTCTTCCTATCATCTTTCTTAACTGTCCAGCTCTCACATCCATACATGGTAATAGGGAATACAGTGGCTTGTATGATTCTAACTTTTGTGATGAGTTGTATATTTTTGCATTTTAGAATCTTTTCTAGTTCTTTCATAGCCGTTCTCCCCATTCTTAATCTTCTTCTGATTTCCTGGCTGCAATCCCCATTTCTATCAATGTTTGATCGCAGGTATGGGAATTCTTTCACTATTTCTTATTTCTTCATTGTCTAGGTTGTGAAGGTTCTCAGTGGTTATTACTTTTGTTTTCTTTATCTTCAGCATTAAGCCTGCCTTTGCACTGACTTTGCCTTTCCACAGACTAACACGGTTATATCTTTGAATTCTTTCTGTCAAATAGTCTCAAAAGGGGACACAAGATCTATCTACATACATACTAACAACACACCAAGTGCATTGTTTCTGTAGTGCGGATGCAGGCATAGTCCAACGTTTAAAAACAACAACACAAAAGCCACGCTAACTTTTTACTATATCTATGGTCTTTACTCTCTCTATGGTCAAACGACCTTCCAGTGTCCCGGATGTGAGCGTTGGGAAGGAAGAGGGGGAGGAATATAGTAAGCCCCGCCCCGCCCCCTCCATGAGCGACGCTGATTGGCCAGAGTGGAAGCCGGCGCCGTTGGGGGATTGGCTGCTGCGCGAGACGGTGACTGAGGGGAAAAGATGAGCCGGTCGGGTCTGGCGGCTCCTGAGGGAAAAGAAAGGAGCGCAGCGCCGGGGAGGCAGAAAGGTGAGTAGGAGCTCCAAAGCCCTTCTCCGCGGTCATGGGGAGCCGTTGCCGCCGGCGTTGGCCCGCGAAGCCTTGGGAGGAAGGGCCTTGCTTCAAGCGGAGGGACAAATAGGGCCCCTGAGGCCGACTGAGGGCACGCGGTGACGCCTGAGAGGCCTTTGGGGTCTCAGTAGGCCTGGGACGGAGCTTAGAGTGACGAGACGTTCTCACCGCAGAGGAGAAGGCACCGCGAAATGGAGGACATTTACCACAAGAAAGCTAGAAACACAACTAGAAATGTAAATCCATGCTCCTTAGTCCTGCTCAAAATGGAGGTCCTTTTAGAATTGCTCCCGGACAGGAGGCTGAAATGGAGGACATGCCCTGGAAAAAAGAGGACCTCTGGTCACCCTGGACATTTTGGAATTCCTCCTGGACAGAAGGTTGAAATGGAGGATGTGTCCTGGAAAAGGAGGACCTTTGGTCACTCTGTTCAAGAAGGTATGATCCAGGGTGACCAGATGTCCTTACCGCAAAGGAGGACAAGGCACTGCAAAGTGGAGAAGATTCGAGAAAAAGGGGGACACATTTACCACATAAAAGCTAAAAACACTCATAGAAATATACATTAATGCTTCTTAGTCCTTCTCAAAATGGAGGTCCTTCTGAAATTCCTCTTGGAGAGGAGGTGGAGATGGAGGACAAGTCCTGGGAAAGGGGGGACCTCTGGTTGTCCTGCCCAAGGAAGCATGATCCAAGGTGACTAGATGTCCTAACTGCAAAGGAGGACAAGGCATCACAAAATGGAGGACATTTGCCAGATAAAAGCTAGAAACACTCCTGTAAATGTAAATTCATGCTTCTGAGTCCTACTCCAAATGGAGGACATGTTAAAATTCCTCCTGGACAGGAGGTTGAAATGTAGGATGTGTCCTGGGAAAAAAGAATGCCTGGTCCCCCTGCCCAAGAAGGCATGATACAGGGTGACCAGAAGCCCCTACTGCAAAGGAGGGCAAAGCACCACAAAATGGAGGACATTCTGAGGGGGAAGGGACAGCATGGCCAAATAAAACATAAAAATACTCATATGGATGTAAATTCATGCTTTTTAGTCCTTCTCAAAATGTAGGACGTTTTGGAATTCCTTCTGGACAGAAGAAGGTTGAATTGTAGGACCACATCCTGGAAAAAGAGGATTTCTGGTCACCTTGCCCCACTCGCTGCCTTGGTCTCTCCTGCTGCTTTTAAACACGGGTCTTAAACACTTGATGTTTCTCTTGGGGGGGGGTGTTGTGTGTCTTCAAGTCATTTCTGACACTAAAGTGAATCTATCACAGGGTTCTCTTGGTAAGATTCATCAGAAGGGGTTTGTTGCTGCCATTCTAAGGCTGAGAGAGTGTGACTTCTTGACCAAGTTTTCCATTTGGCTTCTGTGGCTGACCAGGGATTTGAACCCTGATCTCCAGGGTCATAAATCCAACTCTCAAATCACTACACCACACTGGCTCCCCCTTTGTATATTGTGTTTGTGTTGTGTGCCTTCAAGTCATTTCCAGTTTATGGCAACCCTAGGGTGAACCTGTCCTGGGGTTTTCTTGGCAAGGTTTCCTCAGAGAGGTTTCCACTGCTATTCTCTGAGGCTGAGAGAGTGTGACTTGCCCAAAGCCACCCAGTGGGTTCCATGACTGAACAGGGAATTGAACTCTGGCCTCCAGAGTCCTAGTCCAACCCTCAAACCTCTACGCCAGGCTGGCTTTCTACAAAATCCACAAGCAGCCATACCTTTGTTGGATCAAATCCAAAGCATAAAATACATTCTGCAAGTTGATGTACAGAGAATCTTTCAGAAATTCAATGTAAGAAAGGAGTTACACAGGATGGAGACATCCCCCATTGCCTTCCTCTGAGGCTGAGAGCATGTGACTTGCGCAAGATTACCCAATGAGTTTCATGGCTGAATGGGAATCAAACACTCTCCAGAATCATAGTCCAGTGCTCAAATCACTGTGCTGTGCTGGTTCTCTCCCAGCTGGAGCAGACCCACTGAATTAACTAGTCAATACTTGTATAAATCCCAGATTCATTGGGCATGGCTTACTTGGGACTGCCAATAGGATTCAAGTTAGAAATGACCTGGGATTAGGGTTCCTCTGAGCATGTGCACCATTGTTCTGTTTTGAGTAGCTGGGGTGCACCTCCTATTTCCAGGTGGAAAAGGCTGCAACCACAATGCATAAATAATCCAGTTTGACACCACTTTAACTGCCATGACTCAGTGCTCTGGGATTCTGGGAATTGTAGTTTGTTGTGGCACCAGAATACAAATCCTGGAATTCCATAGCATTGAGCCATGGCAGTTAAAATGATGTAAAACTAGATTTTTTTCTGCAATGGATGCAGCCTAAGAGTTCACCATAAGCAGAAAAGTCTGTTTTCCAATTAGGCCCAGGCCCTTGTCAAGTTACAGGTTATTTGGCTCTTCAGCAGTAGCCATGAAAAGGATCAAAATGTTCCCTTGCCCGATTCTCCTCTATCAGTTATGCAGTGTGTGTACTACAGTCCAGCCAGCAAATGCACAACGATTTAAAAAGATAGTTTAAACAACTAGTCTCATGTTTTTTATATCTCTGCTGGTGTTATACTGTGTGACTTCTGTTTCAGAAACATTGTTCTGTGTCTCCAGTGGGGCAGTGGCTAACCTTGAGTTTTATTTCCTAACTGCTTGTTCCCTGATCTGTTGCATCCTAGTAAACAGCAGTGTAGGCCTATCCTGCCTTTTTTTTCCTGCTAGAACATTACAGTCTTCACCAGCTTTGGGGTAAAGGTTGTACAGTAAACAAAAGTCAGACAAGTATGGTAAGTCTTGATAGGGCTTCCTCATTAATACTGGAATATGGAAACTGTTACCCCATTTGACTGTTTATGCTTGAGGGGGGGAAACAAACTTCTATTAAGCAAAGTCAATCCTCCTTTTAAAAGTTTGAACTTGAAAGATCACAGAAATTCAAAATGGCCCTTTCCATGTATCAACAAGAGGTAACGCCAGGTAATAGTTTTGTTTGGGGGTTTTCGCCCTGTGTTAAGATTAGGTTAGTTATAGAGAGAATAGTACTGTGCTATTGCTCTGGTGGAAGTTGCTTGTAAGAATGGAGTTATATTTAGGCTGAAATGCTTGGGAAATTGAAATTGTTTTGCCAGCAGACAGGCATTTAGAGATGAGTATTTAGAAATATGAAAATAACTTAGTTGTAGTTCTGTGAGATCATGTGGCTTCTGTGTTCCCTCAAGTTCAGACAGCGTTTTGTGTGAGAGACACCATAGTTCAATGGTAGAACTCCTGTTTTGAATGTCATAGGTTAACTCCGTGGCACTGGCAGGTAAAAGGATCAAGTGTGTTGTGGCAATCCACTTGTTGTGGCACAAATGAAAATGCTCTGCATAGTTTTACAACTATATGTTAGGCTCATTATTTAAATGTATTAATAAACCTTACCCTAAAGGCATCAGATCCCGTCTAATCTTGGCAGCTAAGCAGTGTCAGCCCTGGTCATATTTGGATGGGTGGCCACCAAGGAATACCAAGTGCTGTATACTACTACTACTACTACTACTACTAATATTTATTTATATCCCGCCCCTCTGCAACGCAACCAGGGCGGCTTACAGCCTTAAAACTACAATAAAATACATACAACCCCAAGAACCCACCCACCCCTTAAAATGATATTAAACATAAAACAATTTAAAACATACATAAAATAAATCACAAACACAAAACAATAACAGTAGCAGCAACAGAGAAAGGGAGAGAAGATGGCTGACTCTTGGGGCTGGGATATCTATTCAGAAAAGGACTGCCAGAAAAGATCCATCTTAACAGCCTTTTTAAAGCTGTTTAAGGTGGTAATAAGACGGCAGGCCATTCCATAATCTGGGAGGGGTAGCAGAAAATGCCCTCTGGGAGGTTGCAGACAGCCTAATTTTTATAGGCTGCAGCAAATTACTCCCAGAGAACCTGAGTGCGCAGGAGGATTATACGGAAGGAGGCAGTCCCGAAGATAAATTGGGCCCAAGCCATTTGGGGCTTTAAAGGTATCACCAACATCTTATACTGTGCCCAGAAACTAATGGTCAGCCAGTGGAGTGATTTTAATACGGGTGTAATGTGGTCTCTCCTTGTTGTTCCCGAGACCAACCTGGCTGCCATATAATGTACTAATTGAAGTTTCCGGGTCAAGCACAAGGGTAGCCCCATGTAGAGCGCATTACAGAAATCAAGATGAGAGGTTACCAGCGCATGTACAAGAGTTTCAAGGTCCCTAGCTTCCAGGAAAGGGTGTAGCTGGCATATCAGCTGAAGCTGATAACAGGTGCTCCTAGCCGTCACGTTTACCTGATTTGTCATCTGGAGCGTCAGGTCCAGGAGCACCCCCAAACTGCATACACCAGGAGTAGGCAACCTTTCCCCTTTAAGGGCCGAGGGACTTCAACTCCCAGAAGCCTCAGCCATGTTGGCCAGTAGTCCCATATTGGCCAATAGTTCCTGGGATTCTGGGACCTGAAGTCCCTCGTCCCTTAAAGGGGAAAGGTTGCCTACCCCTGGTGTACACAGTCCTTAGGGGAGAGCATGACCCCATCTAGGACTGGAAGTTGTATTCCTACACCTGGTTTTGGGGCCGCTACTGTAAGTACCTCTGTTTTGTCTGGATTCAGTCTCAATCTGTTTTTCCTCATCCAGTCCATTACTGCATTAAGGCAGTCACTGAGAGGAGAGACACCATCTGAAGTCGAAGCTGAGGACCAAGACATGGAGAAGTATACCTGGGTGTCATCAGCATACTGATAACACCGTGACCCATGTCTCCGGATAATCTCTCCCAGCGGCTTCATATATATATTAAATACCATCGGGGACAGGATGGCACCTTGAGGGATGCCACAATTAAGCTCTTTTCTAGTAGAGCAACTGTCCCCGAGCGACACCCTCTGAGATCTGTCAGAAAGGAAGGAATGGCGTCGGAGTAGTGCGTATGCGCGTGCAACGCAAGGCACCATTTTGTGTTTCAAAATGGCACCCAGAGTCATGCGCATGCGCACCTTCGGCCCCCCCGAAGATCTGGAGGCCAGCGAACCAGCCCCCGGATCAAAAAGTGTGGGGACCCCTGCTATATATGGCCCTCACTAACTGCTAGGGAACAGGTTCACCATGTTTTCAGCCATCTCCCTTTCCCTGGGAGGTCCAGGAGAAGCCATTTTCTAACTAGGAAGTAAGCTACAAGTTTTAAAAATGAAATAGGGGTCGTATAGCCCTCCAAAGTTCCCTGAGGAGCCAGTGGAGCTCCCTCCCTGGAAATTACTCCTCCCTTGTTTACACTGAATAAATGCCATTTGTATATTTGCAGTGGAAATGCTGGAGACAAATTTAGGGCTGAGTATTGGTTCTTTGAGACAGTTTTTTAAATGATTTGAGAGTCTTATATGGGCATTTCTTGTTTGCAAATGTTTTCTCTCAGAGTGACTATGGAACATCTGTATCCCAGCAAACTAAGGTGGTTCACTTACACGTTTGTGAAGACTCGATTGTTCTAGATGATCTGCTGGATTAAAAACCTCTTCAGAGTGATGTTAGAACAAGTTGGGTTGACTATGGAATCGGTAAGTGTGATGCTTATAGTAAAATATTTACACAGTTGGAAGCAATGGCACTGTACTCAAGGTTGGCATAGCTTCTCATCTTAATGAGCAAAAAGAGATTGAAAAACTATTTGGTACCTAGATACCATTAAAATCTATGGTTTAAATTAGAAGTGAAAATCATGTGGATGCTTTTACAGTGATAAATACAGTGTTTTAAGTCAAGGTGTTCCCCCGAAATTATTTGTTAAAGTTATGCAATAGGCAGATTTTTATATGAAACTATATACAGGATTAGATCATTGCAATTCCTGGTCTTGCTTTCCCATTCTCAGTTCCTTTTATGACAGAAAGTGTTTTATATCTGCTTGACATTGTTGAAGACTAGAAGAGATAAAATAATGTTCTTTGTTTTGCTAATACTAATTATTTATTCTGTATTTTGGGAGGAGGGGGCTGCCTGATCCTCATAATTTAGTAAAACCAAATGGGCAGAACCAATCAAACTGACAGAACTAAAGAGATTCCTTGCAGTTCACATTCTCCTTACAGTTCAAGATCTTGTAGCCCAGTTTCTAAACAACTTTAAACAGTTACATTGTAAATTCTAATTGTAATTATTGTCTGAATGAGCAGTACTTTTAAAACTCCAAACATTGCTTCAGTGGGTCCACTGTAGTTGGAATTAGCCATTGTATTTTAGGCCTGTGGAATGTAGGCATACCTCTGAATCCTAATAATGCCTGCAAAATGTAACAGAGAGGTCTTGTCTCAGGACAAAGTAGACAGGTGACTTGGAGCAGCCTCTGTGCTCCAGCCACAGTCGGCCTCCTAACACCCCAGGATTGAGGCAACCAGACACCACAGTCCTAAGCCAACTGCTGCCATGGTCTTGAACAGGCCACTGGCAAAGAGTGGCTTTCTCTGCTCCTTTTTGGGCCAGCTTCAGGTGGCCTTAGGTGGCCTCAGAGCAGCTTCTGGCCACACTGGAGGAGTGCGTTGTCTGCATGCCACACCCCCAAAGTGGCTGGAAGCTGCTCTGTTTGGCCCATCTGTTTCAAGCCCATGTCTATCCAGATTTGGTTGTGATCACACAGCATGTTAAAACTCTGGTCTTGTA